ACATGTGTATAAGATCAACCTTTTGCACCAGGGCGGTTCCTAATACTCAATCTGCCTCCTCCTGTCGCCGAGCCGTGTTTAGGCCAGTACTCGAGATCCTCTCTGTGCAATTCGTGCTTTCAGGATGCAGTTGAACGGGTATCGGGCGTATGCATCCGCCTGGTAAAGCCATCGACTCTCCTGCCCACCATACCCATGAGCCCATGTCAAACCGAGTGGTTACATGGATCATTCGATGGGCGCATACGTCGTTTTAAAGTGTGCTATGCACGTATGGAACCGGGGGAGTTCGAAAGAGATGGTGAGGCTTGCTTTCAGAGGTCGCGCCCGTGTGGTTCTGGAATCGACCTAGTTTATGATCGTAAAAGTGCGTCGATTTGAGGACAATGGTTGCTTCAGGAGCCAGCAGAAATATGACCTTTGCACCCAGGCATACATCCTGTCGGCTTTCGAGGATCGTAGTAATCCTCATCTTCCGTCAGATCACTGTCATCCATATCGACATCGCGCTTCTCAGCCACGGGAGGTTCTATCTCATCTCTTTTCTCGACCTCTGGTTTTGGTTCGTCGACCGCCGGCGCAAACGCATTCTTGAATCCTCCTTTCTTGAACCCTCCACCCGCAGCCGCTGCGCTCTTTGTGCCCCCTCCAAGTTTTATCTGCATCAGTGGTCCTTTCTCTTCCTTCTTGGGTTGCACTTGGCGCTGCATTTCCTTCATCTCCTTCAACCTCTTCTTATGTTGGTGATCGTATGAGGATTCGTGGGCCTCGAATTCGTTCATGCGACTGTACCCTTTTTGACATAGCGAGCAGAAGAATGCACTCCGCGCTTGTTTCGCCGACTGTGTACTGGCGGGGGGGAGGGTGAATCCTCTCTAGAGGAGGAAGCGACTAGTCAATAACGCCAAAGAGACAATTGGAAAGTTGGTCGGCGAGACTTCACAGGTACAGCAAGGCGCAACTTACCGGAGGCATGATGGCGGTGACGAACAGTCAGACGCAGAAGAAGATGCTAATATGCAGTGACTGTTTGATGAAGCATTGATCTTTACGCAGGGAGTGAAGAGAAGTCGAAAAAAAAAAGTGGTGGTCGGCGGTTCTCGCATAATAATGTCTGGCCGCCCACCACCGCGTCTGGAGCCAGACCCCTCAATTGTCGACTGTCAGATCGCCAGCGAAGACATCCTTCAGCCGCACAACGAACAACCACGCATTACCCGAGAAGCTATCCATTCCTTGAACCTCGATCTGCTGTCTATACTTTTTTCTCTGGCAAGACATCGAGTAGACCTCGTTATCACCAATCAGGCTCAGCGATCAAGCAAGCTCTTCACAGACCCGGATGATGCAGCACTTGATATTGTCGAAGCCAATGCATAAACTGGAGCTGAGGCTGGTCAATTCGTCTACAGGCCGTCAATAAGGCGGGAGGCCGTCTTCAACAGCAAGAAGTTCCAGCCCTACCAACTCCAAGCTCATGACTTCCACAGATCACCGCGATCGTCGCCATGCGCCTCATAAATGTCCGCACGATTCAATTGGAGGAAGTCTACAACAGCAGGACTCACCGGTATGCCATACTTTCGCATCGATGGGAAGACGAAGAAGTCACCTTCCAAGACATGAGCTCCCCCAAGACCTTTGGCAAGAAAGGCTTCTCCAAAATCCAGTCGGCTTGTTGGGTTGCCCGTAACAAGGGACTTTCCTACCTTTGGGTCGATACCTGTAGCATTGACAAATCGAGTTCGGCCGAGCTAACGGAAAGTATCAACTCAATGTATCGGTGGTACCAAGATGCCGAAATTTGCTTTGCCTATCTAACGGACGTCGAGATTCATAAGACCGAGATGAAGGACAGTGTGTGGTTCACGCGGGGATGGACACTCCAGGAATTGATTGCCCCAAAACACGTCAGCTTCTACGATCGAAACTGGGTCTTTCTGGGCACCAAGGATAACCTGGCTGGGGAGCTATCAAGAATCACTGGCATTGACAGAGATGTCCTTCTCGGTCAGAGACCACCCTCGAGCTGTTCGATAGCTCAGCGCATGTCGTGGGCCTCCAAACGCTCGACAACCCGGGTTGAGGACCGAGCGTACAGTCTCCTGGGTATTTTCGATGTTAGCATGCCCATGTTGTACGGCGAGGGCGAAAGATCGTTTACAAGGCTTCAAGAGGAGATCATCAGGCACTCGGACGACCAATCCATCTTCGCATGGGATCGTGGCCTGGACGGCTATTTCGGCGGGCACAATGGTCTTTTGGCAACCTCCCCTTCGCACTTTGTCACTTGCCAGAACGTCGTCATCCCTGCCTCCTACGGCCTACCGGTCACCACTGGCTTCGCATTGACCAATGTGGGAATATCGATTTCCTTAATGACCCTTCCGTGGGCGATGGAGACGTATCTCTGTATCCTGAACTGCAGCCTCAAAGATTGTCCTCAATATCGCCTGGGTATCTTTCTCGAGCGGCTCTCATCGTCTCAAAATGCAGAGCAATATGCACGGGTGCAGATTGACGGCGCCACCGTGCTGCCTATTCTGCTTCGCACGATCTTGGATGACTCTTACGGCCGTGTTCGCACCGTCCACGTCCGACCTCACATCTCCGATGAACCGCTCCGGCGCTGGTATGGCTTTCGCCTTCACAGCTTCACTCTGCCAGAATACACGATTGATGAGATCTATCAGGCGAGGTTCCATTTTCGCAACACTTTACCGTCGATAAGTCGGTACAGCGCCGAGGAGATGCGGGCGGCGAAGCAATACCACCCGAATGGACTTCTCGGTCTGCCTCCCCGACCGCTCTTCTTTGCCATGCCACGAGCCAGAGGAGGCTTGCTGAGCATCAGGGGCACTGCGGCCGTCATCTACGTCCCGCCTTCGCGAAAGGACAAGAATGGCGAGCGCATCTGTTGGATGAAGTTTGGATTCGACGAAGATTTCCGCCCTGTGTGTATCTTTGGGCGCCGGAAGTCGCTATGGGGCGGCAACGCCGCACACCTCGCCGTTGACGAGGACTCGTACTACGACGCCGAAGAGACTCCCGGGGCGCACGCCCTCCTGTTCCGTCACGACTGGATCAACAGATACCAGTGCTCGAGCGACCAGGAGATCGCGGCGCTGTGGCAGAAGCGCGACTTTTGCGTCCTCAAGGGCGTCAAGGACTGGGGCATTGACAAACAGATCCCCTTCCTCCGACTGCGCGTCCTGGTGCGCCTGGAGAACATTCCCCCCAACTTCCCGTCGGACGGACGGCCCGACTCGCCGTTGCCAGGGATGAATGTGTGGACGATAAACGTGGATTCCTGGAAGTACTCGGGCGACAAGGAAGGGATGAAGACGGCCATGGGGACCGGGGAGTTTGTGCTACGCTCGCTGGACGACATATTTGCCGCAGTTTAGAACCGAGGGCTATGGATGCTATGGAACGAGGGCCGACGATATGAATCAACACACGAACAATACGATTACGATACCATTCAACCTGCCAGCTCTTCTCATTACGCTCAATCCTCTTTCCGGAAGCCTGACTCGCCAGTATCATCCAGAGCCAGTTTAACTACTACACGACACGACAAGACCTCTGTGGGGCGACGCAACATAACGCGGACTCCCACAGGAGAAAGTGTTTCTCTGGAAGAGAAAAGTACAACCACCTATTTACCTCTCGTCTCCCTACCTCCCCACATCCCTCCACCCTTTCCACGAAAAGACAAAGAAAAAAGAGGTTCCTTTTTAACGAGATCCATGAATTAATTCCGAAGACAACCAATGGTAACGACGAGACGGACGAGATATTTTTCATCTATTCCTCCTTTCTTTGGGATCATTTCCATTCACGACGCAGGATGATGGGAGACTCCTGAATCTGAATCCGATCAATCTTGGTCATTTGTTGCTGCTGGGTTCAATCTGACCAGAACTAGGTTGAAGAAAAAGAAAGATATATCATATCGCACACGTTCAGCCGAGGTGCTGTTATTTCCCTATTCCCTTCCTCGCTCAATAAATCCATTCTCATCGACTCGGTCCCAATAAAACGTGTGCGCCTGCAAACGCCTTTCTATCAAAACAGGCTGTTCCCATCCCTGCTTCAATTCCTGCCCTTCTTTTTCTTCTTTTCCCCAAACAAGATCCGACTTGCAACTCCGAATTCAACTCCATGAAAGAAATCCAGGGGTACCCCCCCCTGCCCTAGTTCCGTCCCGCCCTTTGTCCTGGGTATTTGCTTGCTGTCATGATTGTTTCGTGGGATCAACTGTGGATGCCGTGTGATTGCTTGGGTCGTCTCCGTCGTGTCAGATGCTGTTCAAAATCGAAGAAAGAAAGGAAGAACTCCCCCCAACAAACACCTCGCGCCTCTGGCAGACAAAGCAAGCAACGCCTTGCAACATGCCTCAAAACACAAAATCTAGTCCCCATCAGAGCCGCTTTTGAACCTCCCTGCAAAAACACCACGCGTCATGACCGCCGATACATATCATACACATATACACGAACCTAAAATTCCATTAATAGCGTCCCCTCAATGTCTATTCAGAGTCAAAACAGGTGAGATGCCCCGGACTCCAGTTCGTACCTTAGTTGCCCAATCCATATTTGTTTCTGACCATGGACCAGGCCGTTGTGTTGATAGTATACTCGGAACACAGACTTCCAAGTCGCTAGGGTTAGCAAACGAGGCGACTGACTTTGTCGAATTTAGGGTTCTTCTGCAGGAGAGGTTGAAATATGTAGGGTAGCCGTATCTGGCTAAAGCTGCATTGTGCAATAATGAAGGCATCGAAGCCTATTCCTTGATCCACTAGGGTATATTCGCGCCGCCCCTTTGCGTGCTGCTTTTAGCTGCTTTGCTGCTCGACGAGAGCATGAGCGCCTTGGCCAGCCTCTTCACAAGCTTTTGCCAGTTGATTTTGCTGTTCCAAAAGATTAGAAACACGTTGCTCAGTCTGCTGTCGGGTCGTTTCAGCATTTGCTGTATCAATTGGTCGCAAGCTATTTCCGCTTCTGTCGCTTCGCTCGCGCGCGAGTCGGGGCTCGATCGGCTTTTTTGCGCACTGCGTTTATCTCCTTCGACTGCACATCATCTTGTTCACTCACTGCCTTTCTCTTGATCCCCTGGTTCTGCAGTGCTGTGGTCACTTGCAGCTGTGTCCTTCGACAATCTCTCTTCTTGTTCGCTTGGACCTGCTTGTTGAACTCTGCACGGAGCGAGTCCATCTCGCTTTTCAGGTTCCAATGTGAGGGGTCCGAGCAGGTTTGTTTTTCTTGTGACAAAGTATGATGCCGTTGCGACTCGTCAAACCCCTCGTGGCTAGACTTGGTCTCTTCTGAGAGCTTCGCGTTTTGCTCTAGCGGTTGCTGTATACGATCGTCCTTCTCTGCCTCTAGAATCTTGATGCGTTCCTCTAACCGAGCAACTGTAACGTCTCTAGCTGTTTCCACCATTTTCAGTTGGTCCTCTTTATTAGAAAGGTCCTTTCGTAAAGTCTCGATTTTCTCCTTCAACTCGGCGTCTTCACTTAACAGTGCATCTTTTTCACGGTTTGTGGCGCACAACAGAGTTGAAATAGTTTCCCTCGCAATCCGTTCTTGAGCAAGACTTGCTCTGCCTCGGTCACAGTCTTCTCTCAACTTTGCCAAGTCAAGATCTGACTGCATGGCAACTTCGCGTTCCTTGACGAAGTACTCCCTCTCGCGGAGGGTGTATTTTCTCTCCGTGGCGATTATTTTATTGCTGGATGACACTGCTTTGTCTTGGTCTTTTGCAATGGCCTTGATGGTGTCTCTCTCTGCCTCTACTTTTCTAAGAAGCTCAGTTCTGACACGATCATCCCGCTGCAGAGCGTCCACACTCGATCTTAGGTCTGCAATGGCAAGGCGTGAGTGGTCATTGGTCCTCGCAAGACCATCTTTCACATTATCTGCCTCAATTTTGCTACCGACATCCTGTTTTAGTGTTCCGACTTGGCGTGTGAGGCACTCAATCTCCCGCGATTTTTTGTTGTTACGCTGGGCGAGGATATCGCTCTTTTCTTCGGCTTGGACCTTTTCGATATGACAAGCCTTGCCTTGATTTCTGACCCCCACGATCTCAAGGCAATAGTCTGAATTGACCTTTGAGAGTTCAAGTATCTCCGCTTCCAACTGGGCAATAACATAGTCAGTCTCCTTCTGTCGAGCGGAGCCGACTTCTGGAGAGACGTTTGTCTGTGAGATCCTGTCTCTCTCGGCGGTGAGACGCTGTATCTCGTCGGAAAACGAAATGTTTTCTTTTTGAAGGCTGTCCTTCTCGTCGGTGACACGCTGAATCTCGTCGGAAAGCGAAAGGTTTTCTTCTTGGAGTCTGTCCTTCTCGGCGCGCATACCTCGGTAACGCTTCGCAATAAGGTGAACAAAGTCTTCCGGGTTCCCCACAATGACCATGTCTAGATCAACAGAGTCAAAAAAGCATTGCAGGTGGTCGATGAGCCCTTTTCTAACTTGATACTTGATCATCTCATAACTGACCTCCTCTTTCTGAAGACATTCCCGGTGGGCCGTCCACACTTTTTGCAAATGAGACGATATTTGGTCGAGGTACCCCTTATCAGGGTCCTTTCCTCCAGCTTGCTGCGCCTGACGCACGCAATTCAGTGCCTCAACCAGATGTACAACCCGTAAATCCTCAAAAAAATGCAGGGGATGAGATTGAGGGAATCCACCGCCAGGCTTCGTGTCTCCAGGATCGGCATCCTTGATGCTGGGTCGGGTGTCCTCGTCATCCTGACCTGATCTTTTTTTTGTCGATTCTAAGGTCTGCATACTGAACCCTGCGAAGCCACACAGCCAGAACACAAGAGCAGCAGAGAAGTGAGTTCAAATAGAGTCAAGCACATGCCGCGAAGCTTGACCAGAACGGTCTTAGGCTGTGAGACGACGATGTCCACCACTCGCAAAACACATGTTATTTGCACCTGGAATGACACCAATCGGAGCGAGTCAATAGAGTGCAAAGGTCTGTAGAAGAGAAAGGGGCAGTCGTTTGAGAAGGATTATAGTGACTGTGCTGAGGGAGGCTGAATGATGGAAGCAGGAACAGTGGTAGACAGAGAGAAGCAACGTCCCAAGCAGCAGTTTTTGACTGTGCTGGAGCGGACAGTTGGGCGGGGAGGAGCGACCAAGAAGCACCCAAAAGGCACCCAAACCAAGAGGGGCTGCCCAGTGGTTGGGCGCGGGGTGACGGCTGAAACAGCTGGACCGCCTCTGATTCGGTACCCATTGAATCAATCACTCGTGAGCCTCCCCGACCAATTGAAGCCCTCCACAGATGCGCTAGTGGTTGTGGCAGAACCCGCTGACTAGCCTCGATGCCCACACCGCTTACTTATGTCTTCCGCTATTGGCTGATCCCAAAATCTCTGAAGCGAAGTCCTGTGAGGCCTCCCAGTTGGTTTCTCGGTCCTCATTACCACAACGAGGGACTGGTGAGTCAAATCCTAAAAACACGAACGCACATGACGGATTTCCTAGGGTTGAGAATACTGCAAGCTTTTCACCTGTAATTGAGTTCCAACAGCCCGCTTCCGCGGGTCTTCCGAGCCTGCAAGGGCCGTCTTTCCCCCTCTCAAGAACAAAGAAACGCTCAACAACATCAAAGTCATGACCGACCTACCTCCCCTCTCGACACAAGACACGCATGGCTCCATCTCCTCTATACCAATGCACGAAGTCGATCCCTCGCCCGTCGACGATGACGACCCAGAAGGCCCAAGCTATCCCACCAACCCTTCGGATCCCGATGCTTCGAGATTGCCCTTTTCATCTCACAGCACGACCAATTGGCTGGGCCTCACGCCAGCCCGGACGCTTCACATGTTGTCAACCGTACAAAAGTACTCTGTCGTCCCCTTCTCAGCCTATCTCACGATGCACTACGCAAACACCGCACTGATCCCCCTCTTGACCGGTTCTGCGCGCGAGGCAGACAAATTCCTCCTCCTCACCCGCCCCTTTTATCAATCCTTCCCATTCGAACCACTCCTGATCTTTGTCCCCGTCGTCACCCACGTCGCCTCCGGGATTGCCTTACGACTCTACCGTCGTCGCATCACAGCAAGACGGCATGGAGCCGAGACACTCTCGCAGCGCAGGAAGATGAAGAGTAAGATACCGTGGCCAAAGTTCTCGCTCACTAGCGCCGCGGGTTATGCACTGTATCCAATGTTCGTGGCCCACGTGTTGTCTATGCGTATCATCCCCAACAAGATCGATGGGAGTTCTGCCTCTGTGGGATTACGCTACTTTGCCCATGGCATAGCACAAGATCCGTATGTCGGACTGGCAGGCTACACATTGTTCGTGTGCGTCACCAGTTACCACGTGGTAAGCGGTGCGGCCAAATTCCTGAGAGTGAGTGCAGAGTATGTCATCGGGGGCGGGGACGAGGGCCACCTGCGGAAGAAATGGCGAACCAGGATTGTCAACGGGATTACCGCCGCCGTGGCAACCGCGTGGATTGCTGGTGGGTTGGGCATTGTGGGAACAGCAGGGCGAGGTACGGGTTGGGAAGCAAGCCATTGGGATAAGATATATCGTGCCATGCCGGTTATTGGCAGGATGTTTTAAATATCAACAAACGCGGATCTGCGGATCGTTTGTCTTGTGTATTGTCTAGATGTGAGATAGGGTTACCCGCGAAGAGTTTAGAAAAGGGGCCCCATGCGCATATACTCCACACGGCGCATTCTGTAAATATAGTTCAAGTCCACCACAACATGGCTCTTTTCGAGGAGTTTCCCCACAAAGACCAGGGCACCGCCCCCCCAAAAACAGCGACGTTTGCTTTCACGCGTGTTGCCATCGAAGACTTGTGTGAAGACGAGGCGCCGAGGGTGAGGGGGTGAACAGGACATATATACACTGTTCGGCTTTCGGGGGCCTGAGCACCAGATTCACACTACACGCTCCTATGCCTCTTCACCCTTTCCTCCATCCATAAGTAACGCCCCACACGATGAGCCCGTCACGTTGAGCAAATCTATCTTGACACGTGCAAATCATGGCCAAGGGATGAGAAAAAAAAAAGTGAGGAGAATAAAGCAGGCGATCCCTCTCAGAGCCGGTCGGTACCTTCAGGGCGAAGCGAGCAGTCGCTGAGGCTGGTCGAGGGGAAAATAGGTCCGCAGGCCACATCGCAGACTTATCTAGGGGATAGAGGCTGCCAGATGCCCCAGGAGATGGTGAACGGAGATATAATGTTCCTGGTGTGTGCAAGAAGGATCAGCATGCGCCGTGTTAGCAATTAGAGACTCGAATAGACACTCACGCAGCCAGATTCTGGATTGGCATTGAAAAGCTGAGTTGACTCGGCTTGCCCTCCCCCTCTCCCTCGACTGACGTCTCTATCACCTCGTTGATGACGTTGAACTTGACCAGCCGCAAGTATCGCAGGCGGTATCGCATGAGCCTAAGTCGAGCAGCAATAGCGTTTGCCTGCTCCGTCGAGGCTACAACAAACTCCAGCCTTTGTATTGAGCTTGAGACGAAGTCGACCAGTGTGATTTCCATGTTCGGCCACGTCAGGGCAAGCTCCTGGAGTTTCGGTGTGTCCAATAGGAAGGCTGAGAGAAACTCGACGAAGGCCGACGCAGGAGTCGTGTTGGAGGATATCTTGAGCACTTCAAGGCTATCTCGATGGAACTCATACAACGCTTTCATCGTCTTGGAGTTCAGGAAAATGCTCCCGTCTGTCTTCGGGTCGGTGATTTGGGTCAAAGCTAGACGCCTCAGCGGCCTGATCCTTTCGAACAATTGATGTGTGACGGATTGGGCGATCCTGGTCTGATAACCATGTCTCTGGCGCATCAGGAGACCATGAGGCGGACCGATGATGGAAAGATTCTGAAGACCCGTCAACTTGCTGAGCACTTCTGCAGTCCTCGTGGGGCTTGTCTCTGAGAACCCGCTAAATTGGAAAGTGTGTAGTTCTTGAATGGATCCAAGGCAGCAAATATGGCATTGCTCAATGTCGAGCTTCATCACATGTAGCTTGAGGTAGTGTTCTGCAACCCAGGTCAGGACTTGGGTCATGACGATACTCGAGGGTGTATTCCTGCCAGAGTCTAAGGGCCGCAGAAGTGCCAAATGCGTCACACCAGGAATGTTCTCCAATGCAGATGTGATGCGATGGATTTCTTGGAGATATGGATGCTGAGAAGCTTGACCAGCGACCCAAGGTGTTACAGCCTGGGGTCCAATTTCCTCAAGCCTAAGTCTCAGATTGGTGATACTTTGCTGCACCCTTTTCGGCCATTTGTTTGTGAATTTGACAAGATCATTTTGACATTCGCACACGAGTGGCCTGCGAAAGAAAGAAAGTCTGGCTTCACTATACACTTGCTTGTTCACACATAGCAGGTTTAAGTGGTCCTGACACTTGAAGGCGAGCATTAGGTCGTAGATGTATTCGCGGACTTCGAGGGGGATCTGTAAAAGATAGCTCGGAGTGGCTGCGCCGTACGCGTCCGTTGTTTTCTTCGCTACCTGTCGATGGTGAGCCCATTTCTCGAAGAGTGAGACATGTTGCTTACCTCGTTTGTCTCTGGCAACAAATTGACCCGCTGCATCTTCTGCAAAGGACTACTTGGTTGTATTTCAGCTGGCTGCCACCGAGCACCCGAGGAACTGCTGCCAATTTCTTGTAGCACCTGCGACGGAAGTAGCCTGTTGCACTAGCTTCTTTGTGTAGAGGAAGTACAGTGATATAGGTCCGGCGGGATAGGTCCGGCGGGATTTGCGAGGTGATACTTGGTGAAGATCGGAGAGGCTTTGCATTTGCTAGGCTGACGATATTTGGTTCAAGCATTCTCGATCCATCATAGGATGATGCTGTCCACATGAAGATTCGGCCGGGGCGACGGCTTCAATATTCAGCAACATATTGCTAAATTCGCTGCGCTTTGGCCAGCAAGGCAGTATAGCATCTCATAGAAACCGTGAAAGGCCGAAAAAGTGTTGCCGGATCGCGTGTATTCGAACAAGAAGTGTTGTAGCTGTCTATTTTGGAGTATGTACGAGAATCCCATGCACGCTTAGCATATCGCAGTGGTAAAGGTCGGGGTTTGGTGGTGATGCGAATAAACCTAAAGATCTGAGACAGTAGGGACAACAGCTAGTGGGAGAATGTGAACAAAGGGTGGCTGCCACATGATCCTCTGGATGTTGGGCTCCCTGGTTGTTATTGCAAAATGACAGCGGGCACTAAACTGCGGAATGACAAGGAACAATACCAAACGCCACGCCGAGCAGGGCGCAGATGTCGAAACCAGCTCAGAACAGACCAGGAGAAAGAGGCAACAGAAAAGACCGGAAGAGATGCTACTTCCCGAGCTCTTCAATCGAGGATATGAAGTATGAGCATGGAGCACCTCACCGCAAGTACTCAATACTTTTGATAATGGTAGTATCGACATCTGACACGGATCTTGGATCTCCACCTCTCGGAGATCATCGAGATTGTGCGATTTCTAGCTCCATGCAGCCCTATTGATGCATTCCTGGATCCCAGCTAGCTCTCTGGGATGACTTGTGTCAATGAATAGACCGTCCGAAAGCACGTACACGGTAGCAAGCTGATCCACGTGAGCCATAGGAACGGCGTTAGATTCGGCGAAATCCTCCAGTCCTAAGCTTGCGCACAACATCTCAACATCGTATCCGAGTTGACAGGAGGGGGTTCGCATCGAGCAGTTCGGTTGTTTTCTGGTTGGTCATTGGATCAACCACCTGTGGAAACGAGAGCCGAACCGGCGAGCCAGGATGTC